CTACTGGCATTGCATATAACTGATATGCTCAACAACTAAAGGTAACTCAAATCCAAAATGTATCACAAAATAATCTACTCTGTGACTAACACATAGAGAAGAGTTTCCCTGGCCTACCCCGGTTCCAAACCGGGATATCTCAAAAGCAAAATTAGTACTTTGTTTATCTGCTTTCAGTCATTCCATTTAAAAAAGTGTAGCTCAAAATGGTACTTGATGTATCTGTTCCACGATCTATAATGATAATACCCCGCCGTAACGCTAGCAGCCCACGTGAACCACAAATCCCACTAAACGGGTTCCCATTACCCTCTTTAGTACCGAGTATAAATCACATGGGACTTTTCGCTCGTCTTATGAGCTTCGCCATAAGTTCAAGTGACAATAGTGTAAAGTGCATAGCAACATTATAGCTTCTAAGCAATATTGGAGTGTTGCTGGGGTCAAAATCAGCTTGAGTGATAAAGGAGCGCAAAATATAAACGCTAAACAAGCATCCAATGAACCGGAAGTTCGTCTCTCAAAATTTCTCATTTGAAGCACATGTTTGAGCAATTCACCGAGAAAGGTGCGTCGAGACATACTTTATGAGGAATCCGATGCGCCGATAAGAGCGGTCACAACGGCTTTTTGAGCTCTAACGTCCTCACAAAGAGCTCTAAGGCCAAGCCGTTTCCCATTTACCGGCACGATGGGGTGTCCCTTTCTTCGCGTCGTTTTATGTTCCGGTAAAGATTGGTATAAACTTATACAAATTCTGTAATCCAAAACTTTTAAACAATATTACATTTACCAATCTGGATTATTGACTTAAGACATAGCAGTGGGAGGACGCCACAGGCGATCTCGATTCCTGAAGACGTCAACACCCTCTCGAGGTTCCGATGAATCGAAGTGTGCGCCCCGAGAATGTGGAGTTTACAGTTAAGGTAGACAGGACGGACGATTTTCAGGAATCTTCATTTCAACACTTTTACTTAACGGCATGATGTAGGCAGCAGAGGACCTCGTGTTGACCGGAAAAGAGCGCTCGATTGTTCGTGTAGCGGCGAACAACATGTACTCGTGCTTAATGCAAAAGACGCAGCGATTTTCATCGCTTTTTCGCCACTACAGCAAGCACCACGGTCTTCCACGCGAGTCGCTTGACTTCTTCTTTACGGTATGAAAAAAGGATGCTTTGCAACATTATTTGGTGATTTTAATCGTGATTGCTGTCGTTCAGAATCGGTTGGATCCCGAAGATTCACCTGAATCGGTGCATTTACAGAAGGTAGGAATGAGGACAAAAACGCAGTTTTGTAAAACCCTGATCGTCAAAAAACTACTTTTACAGAACGATATTATCCTAGTCCGTCGCCGATTGATGCCCATGGCGCTAACTTTGCCAAGCCATAATGACGAAACATATTTTGGAACAATGAGAGAACTCTTTCAGGTAAAAATATACGCTGTTGATAGAATGTGACTAGCAACATTTGACAAGTATGGATCATAAATGACAGAGTGGCGTCGGTAGCGACATAAGGCTAGAAGTCGGACCAGAAAGAGAAATTCTGACTGCTCATCGGCTGATTCTTACGACAAGATGCGAGATTTTTGAGGCGATGTTTCGACCTGGAGCGATGAAGGAAAGTTGGGATGGCGTCGTTCGAATTGAAGATCACTCGCCCGAGATGGTGTCAAAAATGCTTGAATTTATTTACACGAATCGTGTGCTTGATCTTTCTAAACTGAACTCCAATGTAGGTGAATCTAAATTGTCGAATTTCTGATAACTAATGACGTCTTGTGCTATTGTGATTTCTAGCAACTGATTGATCTCTTGACGCTTTCGGAACAGTATCTGCTTTTGCCGCTTAAGCACCTTTGCGAAGTCGCAGCACAAAACGTCTTGTCGATCGGAAATGTTGGCCGATTCCTCTGCGCCGCGGAAAAATTTAACGCTGCGTACTTGAAAGAGTATTGCCTCGCTTACTTTATGGATCACACGAGTGAGATCATCGATGATGAAAATTTTCGCGAGGAGATTGAGAGTTGTCCATCCATGGCGCTGACTATTGTTCGCGCAACTACTCGTAACCTTGCGTGCTCTTTGGATCCCGTGCAGAAGAGGAGAAGACTCAACATGCCGTTTGATGAGCCGGAGTACTTATCCCCGAGTTGAGTGCCTACAAGCGCCGCCCTGTTAGATTCTTTTTATTTACGACGAACACTACATGTATATCATAAGTTAGCATTTGCAAATTTCGAAGTGATTGATTCATGATGGGCGAAAGCCTTCGCTACAGCGTATTTTTTCATTGATTTTATGATGAAATATAGCTGTCAAAAGCAAAACTGCCAAATTCCTCATTCCATTCTTTGTAAAATGCAAGATCTTTTGCCGCGACGCTGGAGCGAACCTAGCAATGAACAAGTAATCGGTTTATTTAGCTGTCATCAATACAACGCCAATGATTAAAACGCACGCCTCGCAAGGCTTCTTTGAAATCATCCAAGTTGATTGGACGAACAGAAGTGGCATCCATCGTGCTTATATCGGCGCAGTTTCGGATCGGACCCATTGCAGCTTCCGTGCACAGTGCCCGCACATCTGCACCTGAGTATCCTGAAGTACACCACACGAACAAGAATATCAACCTTTGAAAAAAAATTGTATGCTTGTCACATTGATAAAAACCTTTGGTGGATTCAGCAACGAAATGTTTGTTCTCGTCGGTCAAGTCGTTTTCGTTATCCTTTAGCAATCGACTGATTAAGTCCAATCTGGCTTCGAATGACGGCAAAGGAATGTACAAACGCTTCACAAATCGTCGACGCGCTGCCTCGTCAAGCTCTTGAGGTCTATTCGTTGCTCCTAGGAATCCAAACAACAAATTACAACACAAATCAAGACACATCAGCTCTAGTTGAGAACCACACCGACGACGAGGATGATGTCCTTGGCTTTTGTGCCTGCACCGTCAAGCTGAACCAGAAACTCAGTCTTCATTCGTCGACTCGCTTCGTCTTCTTTTGAGCTGTAATGACTTTAAGTGTTAGTTGAATGTTGGTTAATCGAATTCAAAGTCAACACGTCAAAGACCTTCGTTGCGTGAGTAGTGAATCAATTTCATCAATAAATATCACGGAAGGCTAAATGCACAAGAAATGTTGTAGTGAGTATTGACACAAACCCTCATACTCTGCGCACGATACCTGCTTTACGGCGGCTACAGCAAACAATGTTCGAACGAGCTTTTCTCCTTGACCTATCTTCGTTGTAAATGAAAGCAGCAGTATTTTTAAAAAGAAAGAAAATTTACAATTTGATTCTAAGAATCGCACCCATTTGCTCGTAATAGAACTCGCAGAAATATTGAAAAACGTGGCTCCCGACTGGCTTGCGATCGCCTTGCCAATCAAAGTTTTACCCGTTCCAGGAGGTCCAAATAGCAGCAAGCCTTATAAAAAATTTCCAAATATTAGATGTTCGCCGCGCACACAAACTATCGCACCTTTCGGAAGAGTGCGTAGACCGGTGAAAATATCTGGCCGTGCCATCGGCCAAATGACGAGCTCATTTACACACCTCTTGGCAAATTGCAACCCAGCTGGTGCACACAAGACACGAGAAGAATTTATGCTACATTAAATACTCTTTGTCAATAGTCGAGGATTTGTATTCGTCGTACCAATGTCGTCAAATGTAATAGGATCTCCTTTATCAACAATTTCCATTTCGATTTTTTCGATCAGCTCGGGATCACAACTCTTAAGGCGTGGATCGATGCTTTCGCTTTCGTCAATCAGGGTCGTCTGCTTGTTACTAGCGTTCGATCAGTATTCGTTGACTTCAAGGGGGCTGAAAATTACGTTAAGTGCAGAAATCCCACTAACCTTTTGTTCGATCCGCCATCGTTCAACGGTGACACAAACTTTTTGCTCACTCCAGATGAACCGGATCTGCAGCCTTTGTTTTCAATATCCTCTCCACCAAAGAGAAGATCTTGGTTTACGGGATGGTAACTACTGCGTGATGGAGCTTGACAATTTTTACTGCTTCTGATTTGACCATGGAATTGGCCCTTGTCCACATCAGTTGTCTTGCAGTCACGCTTTTCAAGTAGTATGCTAAACCATGAGTCACAAAATAACGCTTAAGGTGAGCAGTTATGCCTCACCTGTAGTCTTTCATATGCAGTGAGGAATGTTTGGTGTTGCCGAGGGGGTTCAGGACAAGATGTTCCACTTGAAAACTCAGAATCGGCATGTACATTCTTCGATTTTCTTCTTAGTAGATCACTCAGACCAGGTTTCGGCTGTGGTGGAGTATCTTTCACAGCCGGCACTGAACAACCAGCGACTGGAGTCATGCCAATTCGCGCATCGTTATTTAAATCAGCACTGCGTATTGTGGTCGCCTTCATTCGGGCAGGGACATGAGCTCTCGTCGCATGCTGCAACAGTGGTGGAGAAGGAGCCGCCCGCACAACATCTTTGCCTTGTGATGCCTGAATGCCAAACTTGACCGCACTAGTAAAGTCTTGATGATCTTCATTTGTCTGCTGCAACATGTGTTTTAAAACATTACACCACAATCATCAAGTTCGCTTATGAAATACCCCTTCGAAGAGTTTGGGATAACGCCTCTGCACATCCTTTAATGTCGCCCCCTTGTGTATCTTTCGTTGCCTCCATTCATTACGCACTCGATTTCTCCTCTTTGACACTTGAGACCCATCTTTCCGACTCTCCCGACATCGCAGTAAAGCTGTTTTAATTAAAAAATAAGTGGTTGTGGCATACAAATGTAATCAACCACGGACGCACTAAAACTTGTCGCATGGAGTTGTTCTAAGACATCAACACTTTGACGGTCGGCACGGATAGAGCTGAGTGCTTTCAGAATCTCTTTGTGTGTCTCTGCATCGTTCAAATCTCCATGAGTGCGCAGCAGCTCGTACATTACCCGTCCAGAATCGTCATGTGCCATCTAAAAATGTGTTAATTCAGAAGCTTTTTGATTGTAATATGATTGTGCTTAGCCTTTCATGATATTTTTTTAGAAACGCACACATATCCATGATACCGTGTAAACTACAAATCTTCATGTCAATAGCTACAACACATTCTTCGATAGCAAATTGTCGTAAGATGTGGATCCTTCTAAAAACCATAAGATGCATAGACACATGTATTTTTTACTTTCTTTACTACCGTAAGGTAGCTTTATTTCGAGCGCAAATTATACCGCTTAAGTGCAGCAGTGGCGGCAGCGTGACCAGCAATGGCTTTGTACACTTCTCGGTCTTGAGGCTGTATTTTACCTACGTCTGCAACTTTCTCCTCCAGTTCGTCAGCCTCGTGATTTATTTTACTAGTCTTGCGAATCTTAAAAGCAGCTTTCTTGATTGGAGCTTTTTTGCTCCGAGGGGTGGACCTCTTTTTGCCAGAAGCTTCATTCTTTCTCACCTTGACAGCAACATGTTGAGAAATTTTGCGATCCTTGTCAATGCCTTCAGTACCCTTGTGAGAAGAGCTCTCTGACGTTACAGCAACAGCCTTAGCAGCCTTCACGACATATCCATACAATAGATAAAACGTTTTGTTAAACGTGCTACATTAATGCACCTTCAAACATACCGCTTTGTTCGTCTTGTGCGAGCCCCACTCATAAGGAGTCATTAAGCCTTTTTTGCCGCCCAATTTTAAGAACTGTTGTGCAAAGAAGTCGTAGTCTGGTCGATCCTCAAAGCCGCAATCTCGAATACGTTTCAACATTATACCCCATTCACGAGGCATCGAAGCACAAAGATGATCCACCAAAGTAGCTTCTTTGATCTTTGCACCTTCAGCGTCACTAGACGCTTGCTGCCATGGAAGATCACCTCGCATTAGGTAGATAAGTACGTAAAGCAGCGATTCAACATCATCACGGCGACTCGATGCTGCACAAAGCAACGAGTAAATCATGCGTTACTCTGTTATAATCAACAGACATACTTGCACCGTTGTGGCAATTCACGCTAAGAAATGTTGGTGTTCCCACGACTGCTCCCTCTCTTAAATCTTTGTGTTTGCCCGCGGCAGTTATATAGCGATCCGAAATGCCGAAGTCAACGCAGTACACTTTGTTCTCCTCATCTGTATCCAGCATGAAGTTTTCCGGCTTGACATCTACGTAAAGAATATTCTTCACATGCATTTGTTGCAGCGTCTCCAACTGTTGCCATCCAATTAAAAGTAGTCAGATCTTCAAGACAGGACAAAGCAATCAAAACAAATACAACTTTACAATTTCCTGTCCAAGTCTAGCCGCCGTTACCGACGAAACAGGTCCTTGCTCCTGGAGCACCGTCTCTAGCGTTCTCCCAAGTCGCTCGATAACGAGAAAGCGAAATCCCTACGGATATAGGCCAATCGAAAAAATATCAGTTGTCAAACACTCAAACAGCGAATTCACTTACCTTGTCCTCGCCATAAGCCCCTGTGGGTACGTACGGAATGCCAGGCTGGTCCCTTAGGTGATTCTTGTACAAAAGATGCTCAGCATAAAGTGCGTCGGCATTGCGTTCTGTCAAAGTTTTCTTTCGCTTTTTGTTCTTGAGCTTTGCAGCTGGGATTTGGGGGAGTGGTGACACTTTGATCACAAATTTGCAGTTGGCATCGCTCTCGAGAGAGCTCACAGACTTAACTTTAGCATAACATAGAATGTTACAAGCGAAAGTATCTTAAAGATAATTAGGTATTACCGGAAAAAACATCGCTACATGCCCCCGAGCCGATCTTTTCACCAAGAACCCACGTTTTCAGCTTCATTCCTTCCATTGCGACTTTGTATTTTGTCGAGCTGATGATTATAATTTATACATCTTGTACTGATTACAGATTACAGCCAATTTTGCTTTATGTCGCAAATATTAGGACAGATAGAAAGAAAGAACAAGCAACAGTATGAGGTCTATGATTAGTACGGCTAACTTGCCTGATCATACAGTGTCTATGCTACAAAGCCTGAGCTTTTCTCCAGGAATATTAGAGCGCTCAAGGTAGCTTAAAGCAACGGTGATGCCTCAGGCTAAATGCATAAGCCTGCATTCTATATTTCATGTGGGCATAAAGTCGTACCTTCCACGTGAATCCGCAGATCCTACACTACTTTCTGCAGACGATCAACCCCTACCTCATCGGATCGACTGGTTGGATCGTCGAGCCAATTGTTTGCCACGATAGTTAAACATTTTGCGATACAATTTAAAACATTGCAGAACTAGCTAAAACTTGTCATGAAAATGCCTTGTCTAGATGGTTACTGTGCGTGTTATCAATTTACTCTGATCAGAACGCCAGTGTAAATTTTTCACCTTATCACATTGTTCTTGAATGCTTTCTCGATTTACTGATGAATGCAACAAAAATCGTATATATTACAAAATAATAAGAGATATACACGGAGTCTCACGTCGTCATTCTATCTCCACTCTCGCGTCGAATATGTCCTCTATAGCCGACTAGGCTTTTCAACTTTACGGCAGATAGACTTACCGATATGTATCACCAATTCCTTTAAGTTTCACTTATTTCTTTTTGAAATGGGAGCCAGCGGCGGACTGGTCCTGCTGTGATTCACGCAGGGCCTCGGCTTTCTGGATCATGGCCTCACGGTCGAATGTGGCTTTCGCGTGCTTGCTTGCGTAATGCTGTTCAAAAGACTTGATGTCTGGTGACGCGCTCTATAAATTTGAGATAAATTTAAAATTTTGGACTTCCACAAGATCAGAATAATTTTACGCACCATGCAGATGTCACAGGTGAAATTTAGTTTGGCAACTCCTCGCGTTGATGCACCAGCTTTGCCTCCACCTTTGTTGACCTGCTTCTGGCGCCGCTCGAGTTCCGCCGCCGTATGCTTTTTAAATTTAGCCTTGCCGCCCATGATGCTCCTCGTCTGAACGAATGGATTGTCATGAACAGTGCAAAAGTAAAAAATAGAGATTGACCGCATACATCGTATAGACCGGTCCCGAACCGTTTCCTATACTTATTCTTAGAAAGAGAATATTCCTCTCATCGAGAAATATTCCCCATAACGCCATGCAAGTCTAGTGCTTACGATTTACTCGGCATACCGCGATCATGTAAGTCAAAAGTCCAGTTATGATGGTAAGTACTGCAGGGGTATAGCGAACTTTATAGTGTTCAATATTTTGTTGTTACGCTACGCAAATTGTGTGCACAGTGCGGAGAGTTTACTTTCTCTTCATGTTTTTTGTTTCTGAAACAAAAATATGTCTGGGCACTAATAAATTTCTCGACATTTAGTATAGCGGACCAAAAATTGGGCTGAGTGTGTCAAGCGTAAAGTAAGGCATGGTCAAGATTGTCCCAGGCAGCGAAGCAACACCGCTTAACGTGCTCGAGTACGAAGAATATGCTAGGGAATATCTACCAAAAAATGCATTCGACTACTATGCGTCAGGTGCAGACGATATGGTAACGCTGAAAGAGAACCGCGAGGCTTTTAAACGACTCGTGCTGCTTCCTCGCGTACTTCGTGACGTGTCCCGAATTGACATTAGCACAACTCTTTTAGGCCATCATGTTAGCTCACCAGTATGTGTTGCGCCATCGGCCATGCATCGAATGGCGCATCCAGACGGCGAGATCGCCAGTTCGTCAGCTACAGCCAAAGCCAAATGCTGCTACATCCTTAGTACTATCTCCACCACCAGTCTTGAGGATGTAGCTGATGCCAGCAGTCTGGCTGATCCGTGTGCGCTACGCTGGTATCAGCTCTACGTGTTCAAAGACCGTGAGATAACGCGCAACCTCGTCCATCGTGCTGAAAAAAGCGGCTACAAAGCCATTGTTCTTACAGTCGATACACCCAAGCTGGGCCATCGCGAACCAGACGTGCGCAACCGCTTCAGTCTGCCCAATCACCTCACGATGGCAAACTTTACTAGAGTGGGTGGTGAACACGAGAAAGGAGTCTGCAGCAATGAGGACTCCGGCCTCGCCCATTACGTCAGTGAGCTATTCGACCTTACACTAAATTGGAACGACGTCAAATGGCTTAAAAGTATTACCGAATTGCCCATAGTTGTGAAAGGTGTGCTCAGCCCCGAAGACGCAAAGATCGCAGTCGGATTGGGTTGCGAAGGTATTCTTGTGTCCAACCACGGTGCCAGACAACTCGATGGCGTCGCCGCTACCATTGATGCTCTGCCGGCCATTGTTAAGGCAGTAGACGGTCGAGCGGAGGTATACATGGATGGCGGCATTCGTCGTGGAACTGATGTTTTTAAAGCTCTTGCACTTGGTGCCCGCGCAGTCTTCATTGGCCGTCCAATTTTATTTGGACTGGCTCACAGTGTACGTCAACATTCCTGTTACCGGTGTAAAAGCATAATTTAACTGGGTCTTGTCAACAGGGCGAGGCTGGTGTGATTAATGTCCTTCGTATTCTTACCGATGAGCTTAAGCATGCAATGCTATTCTCTGGTACTGCTAGGCTCGCTGACATCGGGTATGTCAAGCTCTGCCTATTTCTGCATTTCGTGTTCGTCGCATCCCACAAATCTGTTTGTAAAATTCAGCCCGGAATATGTTCGACGCGGATGTCCCCCGCTTCCGTCATCGTTATAAAGAATGAAAATGGTCTTTTGACATGTGTCAATAAATATGATTTCGTTTGGCATTTTCATATTAGCGCGCTGGCATCCATTTAATCAAAGGACTATCTGCGCTTATGTAACTAGCCAAGCACAATCCGCGTTGCGAGCGATATCTGCACGTCAAGTTCCGACCTGTGTCACTTGCTGATCCAACTCGCACCACCATCCAGTTGTTCTGGTCTTGCCTTTATTTGTTGTTGTGCACAATTGAACGGTACCAAATTACAACAGTACCTCGGATAACTCATGTCCGGATAACTCACAACTTCGTATAATAAGAACAATAGTTGCGGCAGAGCCGCTAATATGTAAAGCCCTAGGTTTTCATAATCAATAGAGTAATACCTGATAAATATATCAATAAAGTAATATGCATTACTACTGCCAATCCTGCCGGGTGATGAACCTGGTCGAGGATTCGGAGGAAATCGACTACGAGTCGGATACTCCTTTCCCAACCTGTGAAGAAAAGGAGGATGAGGTACGCCAACGGCGCGACGTGAACCCTCCTGGAACCTGTCCGTTTCATGACCTCTCGACTTCCGGGGGAAATGGTATTATTTCCAATCGCCTTGACGAGGTACAGGAAGAGCAATTGAAGGCTGCCCACAGGGCGGCTGTCATGCGCTCGTATCCACGTTTGGTCTTAGACCCTCGTGAGGAATACGGATTCTGCTCGACGGATCCCGCTACTGAAGCTAAAGACGCGATCTCGATCATTAGGCGCCTACGTATTCGGGCTTCCGGCCACTATACAAGCTGAGCTTGAACAGCGAAAAGCTCTTCGAGCTCGCTTCCTGGTACCTGAAGAAATCCCAATGGATAGGTACCGCGCATGACTATGAGCTCAGAGAGGAGGCGCTCCTGTACCCGCATTGGGGGCTCGTCCCTGGCGAAACCGGGCTTTTTTTGCGATGGAAGCAGCAGCTCCAGAACAAATCCTCGCTGTCTAAGTTAGAGCGGAGCCACAAGGAGGTGGAAGTCAGCGTAGAACGCCATTTTTGGTTCGAGTTTATCAAACTCAAAGCGCAACGCCGACTTTCTACGTATTGTGGTTTCTCATACGGGTGGGCTACAACCCCAGCAGCTCAGGACCATAGCTTGCGCTCAGCTCATGGCCTATCGGCTTCCCCAGCTATTGCCGAGAAGGGCGGGGCGTACGACGACGCGAAGCGTCATAATTCTTCTGATCATAAGCGTCCACGATGTCTGGGCATTCTTGCCGAAGTAGCACCTCAAGCTCCAGCAAGTTCTCGGATGTTGGGTATCCTCGCCACTTGGGTTTAACCCTGTCGATGACATCGATCCACAAGGCGTTCGACGGGATAGTGAACGCCGACGTTTTCGTCAAGAAGAGTCCGCGGTGGACGATGACGACTTATTCGATCACCATCCAGTGACTCGAGATGCTCTTCGAGCTATGGAGGTCAAAGTCCGTCGTCATCGGCACTCCGCTGAGCATCTTGCCGAGGTCGCATACCGCTGTGCGGAAGATCTCAAGAGCTTGGAGCACTTTGTGCACCGACTGCCTCATGTTGATGGCTATCGCGCTCTGTCGGAACAGCTCCTAGCCGTCGAGCAGACGAAAGAGTCCATTTGTGCGGTGGTGGAGCTCCTTGCGCCGTGAAAGATGCGCTCCGTGCTTTCTGGTCATGCTTTTGGGTGGTAACAAGCCTGTGCGCGCCGCTCCAGCGCCAACGCTTCCGCTTTTACTTGCGTCGGATCCCAGTACAGCTTAAGCAAGCCCAAATAAAACACCGGGTGGTTGTACATCCGTTTCGGAAGGTTTGGCGTATACGCAAGGCCCCGCTTGGCCACGACCTAAAAGGGCCCGGTATACTGTAGGTGGAGCTTCGTAATCAAGACAGCAGAAAGTGCATGTCAGGAAGGTTTATCGCATCCGAAAATCCAGGTCTCCGGCCTCAACATTTCTTCTACTTTTCATTCTTTCTGCATGTCTTGGCTTTCAGCCATCGCATCGCAAACGTGTTGTAAGACATTCAGTCTGGTAGACCGGAACTCATCGAATTCTATACCGACGGTGAGAAGGCTTAAATCAGCTAGCCGTTCGGCTATTCCTCCCCCGCCAAGCCCTTAGCCATGGGATGGTGGCGTCAGCGGGATACGAGGATTAACACGCCCGTTCGCGTAAAACGGTGTGTAGCCGGTAGATGAATGCACTGCATTGTTCAGAGCTTCCTTTTCAGGTGGCAGCATGGCGCTCCAGCGGCTCGGCGTCTCAGCGAAGACGCTGCGATGAACATCTTCAGCGACGCGATTCGCGCGTTCCATTTGATCATCCATATGCGGATGGTCCGCTGTTAACATTGTCAATTTGATGCCCAGCACCCTGAAGAGTGATAACCAAAACTTCCCAGTGAAACGTGGTTCTCTGTCGGAGGCAACTGACTCCGGGGGTCCGTGTTGTCGAAAGACGCGATCCATAAACAGAGTCGCTGTATCGACACCGTCGATGGTGTCCGGCACAGCAGAAAGGTGAGCCATCTTGCTCAAACGGTCCACAAAGACCACCACACCCGTGTTGCCCGCCGAGTCCT